CCCCTCCAATTCTCTCCCCTGTCCCCTGGGGCGGTGGGGAGTAAGTGAACGACTGTGTTTGGCTGCGAGTCAAGTGCAACCACCAGAAAATGCTACACCAGTTAGGAAAGGGATCCTTACATACTACCAGTTTTCAAACTGGGATGGGGCTGATGCCATGGGAGATCAGAGTAGGTGGGATTCCTTCACCAGCTCAATAAACTCCCTTACTGAAACAATGCTCTTCCAAATGAGTTAATTATATCACATTTCCAGTTTGGCAGAGAACACCCAAGTGATAGCGCTTGTAAGAAAAGCTGCTAGCACCACGACTGTTCAACACAAACAGCAGCACAGGGCAGTTAAACACCACTTAGAAAGTCACAAGGGTGAGTGAGTAGCACTGGCTCATTGTAGCAGAAAACAGCCCTTTTTCCACATTATTAAAACACCGCTTATGCGGTCCAGTGGCCATCTCTCTGCCCGGCGGGGCTGGTGCCACATTTAGCCACTGGACCAGGACAAATCTGGCGTGTGATGAGGTGGGAGGGGTTTTTCTCTGGGCCACAGGACACAGGATACTATACATCTCTGCTCTCTCACCCCTGTGTCAAAACGCCAAGGCCACCCTCCCATACCAAGTTGCACAAGTTTACTTCCCTTTAAAAATAGGAATCATGAGTGAAAGGTGAACTGCTGGACCAAGGAAGGAAGGGGAAGTACCATCACTGCAGTAAAAATACATTCAATCCCTCATACGGGCACAAAAAATTGTCATTTGTGGGAATGACGTCAGTACTGGAGGCAGAAGCCTTCTCTGCGTGTCCAGCGTGGGCTGCTGGCCACTCGCCCTGCCTGCCCGTGCCCCGCGCGCCTGCAACCTGCCCAGCTCTGGGCACCTCCACAAGTTGTTTTCCCTTCGTCTTACCCGTATTTTGTTTCGACGCATCGTTTCTGGATGACAACAGACAAGCAGAGGATCAGCCCGACGGCAATCGTCCCGCAGATAAAGCCCAGAGCTACGATAAAGGAGTCTGTGTTCCCCGAGGCTGAAGTCGAAGAAGGGGCTGAGGTTACTAATCCTAAGAAAATATCCCATCAATGGAGCTGGTAAAAGAGTCAGCCTGCAGCACCCAGGGATTGGCAAAGGATTTCCCAGGGGCTGAAACCAAACCCAGCAAAACCCTAAGGCTTACACAGGAGAAGGGAGCATGAGGACCAAGCTTGCACATGGAGAGTAATTCTCTCCTGGCTTCCAAGGCATGCTAAAGGTCCCAGATTGTTGGCCAATAGATAAAGAGTCTGAAGAAGGATGGAGGAATGTCAAATGGCCTTGGCTGGGCAAGTACAGCATGACCTGAGTGCTTCCTCATCATCCTCCCCTGGACCCACACTGCACAGATAGGGATGGGCATCTCCTTACCGCTGACAGGGATGAAGACCTCCACCGGGCTGCTGAAAGGTCCTACTCCTCCCTTGGTGACGGCAGCCACACGGATGGAGCAGGTGGCGTTGGTGGCTACCACGGGCAGGACGGCCACACTGGCATTCTGCCGGGCTTCAGCGGAGACGTTCTGCTGGAGAGAGGAAGGAAAGAAAAGCCTGGGCTGGGGGAGACAGCGGCATGTCCGTATAGCAGGAGGGAAACCTGCCTGGAGATTTATTGAGAATTGTCCCCTTGTCAAACATGTGTGTTGCTTTGCTTCTACAAGTCCAGAGGAAATGCAGCAGCAAGCTATTTATGGAGAATAATAGCCCTGCCTGCAAGAGCCAGATGGGATCTGCAAAGCGGCTGAGCAGCATTTCCCATTCAAATCTCATGCCACTGTCGCTCTTTGCGTGTCAACAGCAGCAGGACCAGCAGCCTGAGCCAGAAGAGAAAACGAACACACACGGAAGGGGGAAAGACATTTCATGCACTGTTGGTGACGTGGATTTTGACCCCCAGCCTTCATGGTGGTTGGCTTGGCCAGTGGAGGCTCCTACCCCTCTTCACTGCCGGCTACAGATGCCCATGGCTCATGCCGGGCAGCCCCATGAGTCTCAGCACCCGCAGAGCCTCAGCGCTCACCACCGCTGCTCCTCCGCAGAGCATCTCTGACCGCCTTCAGCCACAGCACTCCTGGTTTGATTGTTCAAGTGCCCTGCCACAGAAAGTAGATCTCAGGGCAGATATTTTCCGACTGTGGTTTTGTGTCAAGCTAATAATATTTCAAGTTTTAAGGGCGTGTTTCCTTGCCTGGTAACACACCAGGAGTCAGTGTGCCCCACAGCACAGACCTTTTTCCTTAGTAAAAACACAAGCAAGTCTTTCTCTGCAAATTTCCTGTCATTTCCTGGTCTTCTTCAGCTGAGAAACTGCTGCTTCTTCTCTCCACTGACCTCCAGCTGCAAAACAGCTGCCCAGTGGTGTCCAAAACATCTGGCAGGCTGCTGCGGCTGGCAGAGCCCAGCTCCTTACCCTGGCTGAACGTCACACAGCCGAGCAAAAGCAGCAGCCAAGGGGGATTGGTGGGTAAGGAGGAGGAAATCAGAGCTGCTCAGAGGGAACCAGTTTCTGTTCACAGTCAAAAAAGCCACAGAAATGGATGTGAAACACACCCCAGCCCCAGGAGCATGTCTGTGCCATCGGACAGTGGTGTGAGCTCATACTCGCCGCTGCCTCCGCTCCCACACTCCTGCTTTCCTCCTGCCTCGTGTTCATGGCATCCTTTGGCAGAAATGCACATGAGATCCACCAGCCTAAATATGCACCAGGATCCTTTCATATTGCAGGCAGCTCTGCTATGTCATTTGAGGACAGAGCCCAACTGATATCAGACAGACCGTGGAGAGCCTGAGCACACTGGTAAAGCAGACGGCCATTCTGGCAGGACAGAAAGTTAATGGGTTTTTATGAGTCTTGCGGTAGTCAAGGAATTTCTTCATGTCTCAGCTCTGGCAGCCTTGGCTCAAACAAGAACTGCTGGTTTTAAAAAAAAATAAACCAACTTTTTGGAAGTTTTCAAAATTGTTTTTAAGCTGGTTATGGAGAAGAAGAGGCCTGCAGGTGGCCCTGCTGATACAGAAATACAGGACCCCCCTGTCTGTGCTGAGGTTGTTAAACCGATGGTTGTTTTGGGGCATTTCATATTTAGCCTGTCCAGGGCCAAAACTCAGAGACTTTATTTCTAAGAAATCAGAGCTCCACTCAACAGCAAGCATATGGCTCATGTGCTTCAAGCTGTCTGTCCATCAGCTCAGGAGACCCTTGGGGGTATGTGGGGGCCCGTGGTGCTCTCCAGAAATGTTACGGCACGGGCTCAAGCCATCCTCATGCCTCTTCATTCTGCGACAGCCCTCATAAAAAGATGTGCTGGCCCCTGCCCTTGGCTGGCTCTGACACGTGTTTTTGCCTTCCATAAAACCTGGAGGCTGATGAAACAAATTAGCAACAAACACAACTGCTCTGGTCTGCAAAGAGCCAAGGTCCTCTGCACAGCTCCTTCCCACCTAAGCCAATCCCGACTAGAGGGGTTTTTTGAGCCTCCCGAAAGCCAGCATGAATGAGAACAGCTGTTGACCAGGAATACAAACAGAAATTTCTCTCCATAAGCATTTGACTGGGGAAATGTATAAAAAACAACAACAACAACAAAAGACAGTCTCCCAGGGCTTAAAGGGCAAGTCCTGTTTTCTGCGTTTTGCTTGAGAGATGACAAATATGTCAGCATTTTTTTTTCCACACTAGTCACAAGACTATAATATTCTTTCCCTGACTTCATTTGGTCTGGATCTATACATGCTCTTTTGCAGAGGCGCAAAAGGAGAACAGAAAATGCAGCATCCTACAAAAAATAGGGTGTGAGTCACTTTTTCCACACCAGGTTCAGGCCATCAGTGCCTCTCTGTACTTTCAGCCTGGGACAGAGGAAAACCAAACCACAGCACAGAGGCGACAGCTGGCTACATCTGCACAATTATCCAGAGGCTCCCTGACCACTGGCAGAACGTGGACAGGATGCTCTTTTGCCCAGCAGCTGAGGTGAGCCAGGACTGCCCACGAGGTCAGGCCAACCTCATCCTAGCAAATTCCTGAAGGCTACTTCCAAATCCTGGGAAAGGCAAGCAAGGTTGTGCCAGATGACTTCATATACTCATGGACAGGGCCCCAGCCCCAAAATGTTCCTTGAGCTATGAAACTCTGTGCCATGGGTTTGAAGATGAGTTAATGCAAGGAATAAATCCCATCTGAGTAAGGAATTACTCCAAACCCCCTGAAAAAATTCTCCCAACCACCTTACGATTGACTCCATTGCCAAAAGTGCCAAGAGATGCTGCCAAACCTTGACTGCCACTCCAAAGGCCATACCAAAGACTGTCAACACCAGGAAGAGCATCTCACTTCTGTTTTAGAGAATAGGAGCCATGGTAGTAAACCTTCTGTTCCCTTCAAGCAGAACTGCTTCTTCCCAATATTAATGACACAGGGCACGAGTTACATAAACATGCGAGAGAGAGACCACTTGTATTAAAAAAAGCCCAGATGAAAGCACAAGAGAGTAGAGAAATAAGCTCAGACAGAAAATCTGGAAGCATCAAGACCAAACTGGACATCCCTGCTTGATGCCTGCCAGGATTTTTTCTAGGCTCTATCCATTCTTCCCCATTTCCCTGGTGACTTACCAACCCCTTGGAGTTCTGCCACCTGTACCAAATGTGATAACCCTGCAGTTCCCCATGGATCCTCCCCAGGGGTGGCTTCAGCCATCGGATCTCCAGGGAGGAGCTGGATTCATTGAATGACACCGTGACATTCAGTGGTGGGGTGGTGGGAGCTGCAGGAATCAAAGAGAAAGAAGGTGAGGGGAGCCAGGTTCAGGGACATGGTAGGCTGCTGGACAACGAGCTGCAGCTCAACCAGAAAGCACATGGTATTTCCTGCAGCCTGTATTTCCAGCAGGTGACTGCCTGTGGGTAAATTTTCTTTCCTTTCAACAGAGTCGAGATGTCCCACCCCATAAGCAACCATGACTCTGGACCAGCATGTCACCCAGAGAGTCCCGCCCAACACACAGCTGCATGACTGAGGTGGGGAAACCCTTCTCCATCTTTGCTACTTATTTCCTACCTCCCTCGGTGGTGCTGGCAGTTATCCAGGGGCTAAACGCCGACCAGCCGACTTCATTCCCGCAGGAAACACGGATGTTATAGTCTGCCATGGGTCCCAGCTGCTGGATGTGATACGCGTGGGGAGGCACTGAGGTGTTGAAGACCAGAAGCGAGATGTTGCTTCGTGGAACAACTTCCTTGACCTTCATTGAAAAATCAGTTCACAAACAGGGATTAGTCAGTAACAACCTGCAGGGTGAGACGTGCGTCAGGAATTTGACATCTGTAAACAGGATCCAGAGCCCTGCCTCGTATCCAAACACCGTCAGGGCCTTGTTCCTGCACACTGGCTCGTCTCTGCCGAGCAGAAAGCTGACAGCAGGACATTCGCAGGGCCCAGGTTGAGAGCTCCAACACACATGGAGAAGAAAGAGTTGCAGCAGGGACATGGCAGAGATGTGTGAAATCCCCATCACTTCATAAAGGAAGAGGGAGGGATGATTTGCTGTTTCTTGTGGCATGGAGCAAAAGGAGCACCCAATAAAATTAGCAGTCAGTGAGTCCCAAACAAAAGAAAGTCATTTTTCATGCAACACATCATTAGACCACAGGATTTATCACCATCAGATGTTGCAGGACTAATCACAGACCTTGTCAGATTCCACCATTACATTTAACAGCACGGATTAATTCAATGTAATAAAACCAAGTCATGCTTTTTACATGAAGAGAAACTGCTCTCTCCAGCATATCAGGGCTGCAGAGACCACCCAAAGGACTAGCTGTTGGGCACCCATGTAGCTGCCTACACAGCAGAAAGCAGAAAAGTGTCCCATTTTGGGGAAGCACAGGTGATGGAAGGAAAAAAGGAAGAGCAAGAACGAGAGATACCAGAGCAAGCAAGACAGTTAATTCAGCAGATAACTCACAGGATGTGTTTCAGCATGAACCACAAGCAGAAAGTCATACAGTCCTCTCGAAAGCCTCCATGAATGGTTTTGGGGTGGCAGGAGAGCTGCCCTTCTGCTTGAGGAAAAACCGTACCCTGTAGGTAGCCCAGGGTGCACAGGATGGTCTCAGCATTGACAGAGCCAAAATGAAAGAGAAAAGCCTTGTAGCCTCCTAAAGCTGAGAAGGTTCCCAAGCCATTGCTAGATTCTTTGAGGGAGGTGAGTAGTGACCAGATGAACCTGCAAGATACTCCTGAAAGCATCACCAGGACCAGCTGTTCTCCTGAGCATCAAGCTCAGCTCAGCTAATCTCAATTTGCCTTCTGGAGAGAGTCCATTAGATTAATGATTTTTTTTTTTTAAATCAGGCTTTTTGCAAACTTCAACAGTTTGAACTTGGCGGGTGTGACAGCAACAGCTCCCCTTTTAAGCACCAGCGTGCTCAGAAATGAGTCACTTGGTTGGTGGGCCACGCTACTCAAGTGAGGGGATTATCAAAGAGGACAGGAGCAAAAAGGCTTAGTCACAACTGTGTTTTTGCCAGAGATTATGTCTTGTTTTCCAATTCAAAAAGCCATTTCCTAATGACAGACCGTGAACGTTAAGTCATAGGAAATTCCTTGGCTCTCCACCCCACTTCCCGAGCTCCAGCTGGAAGGCAGCAGTGGATGCAGTGCTAATATTAGCTCCAGTACCTTTCCTCTCTGTAACTCCTTTCACTTTTACCTGGCTTCAAACATCACCTTTCTCTATGCGTTGTCTCAGCTGGAGTATAGATTATCTGGTATAAAAAACATTCACAAGAGAGCAAGCAATGTGCTTGAACTGTGAAACCCAGCAATGTCAAACAGAAAAAGCAGGTGGAAACAACTTGCAGGGCTGTACCCATGGAGATGGCATTCCCTGACTTGTCCAGGACACAGGTAACCCATCAGCTCCTTCCCAGTGCTTGCAAGGAGTGGAGAGCGAGAGAAACCTCCACCTCCAAACCCCAGCAGGGAGGCTCCTTGGCTGGGAAGTGTTTGACCAGGAGGTAGAAGTAGGGATAAGCATATGCCTGCGGCAACTCAAAGCTTGCAGTCTCCCAAAGAGCTGCTTGGAGCAGTTCTGGGCATCTCTCCATGAAAAGACATGACAACCTGACTGTCTCACCCAAGGGAAGAGATATTCATGGCTTGCTCCTGCACGCTTCAGAGGTACGAGCCCAGATGGGCTCTTCCAGGCAGGTGACTCACTTGTTTCCATTGCCCCTTGTTTCTGCCCCTACTCAAGGGCCCTGCTCCCAGGAAAAAAGCCTGCTTCACACTCCCTACATCAGTCTCTCTGTGGGATCCCTTCAACCATCTAAACCTCATCACAGCAGGCAGAGCAAAGCCAAGCTGTATGAGCAGAGCACCACCAAGGTGGTCTTCAGCAGCATCTTCCACGCCTCCAGTCCACCTCAGTGGTTCTCTGGCTGCCCAGCGTCTGGGGACTATGCTTGCTGCTCAACTTGGACTCCTCAACATCATGCCACCACAAATACCCCACCCACTGGACCACAGAGTATGGGTGGCATAGTGTGCCTGCTTCCCCCTTGAAAGCCACTGGGAAAGTCCAACCCAGTTTGCCCAAACCAAGGATCTGGTTGAATCCATGCAGTTCATGCCAGTCAACACTGATTTCCACCTGCCTCAGAGCATCCGTGTGAGGGGAGGCTGCAGGGGCACGGGGGGGGGGCGTTATGGATGCTCACCTGGACACTGCAGCTGTTCAAGGCGGAGAACGCATCAAAGCCCGGCACCCAGGATATTACGATACTGTGGGCTGTTCGGTTGAGGACGCGCACGCTGGCAGGTGCGGATGGTATTCCTGCAGCGAAAAGCCAAGGGCAGTCAGCTGGAGCCTAAGCACAAATGTGGCACATCTGGCTTCCCCCTGGCAGCTCCTGGAGCTCAGTGTTACTGTGCATGAGCCCCAGGTACTGCCCTGGCTAAAGCTGCAGTGGAATCCTCCATCAGTGTACTGCGGATGTTTCAGACCATAGGATAGGGAAGCAGTAAAAAGTCATTCACAGGACTATTTTGACCATGGTCTATATTTGTGAGCTCTCTGGGCTGCTTAGAGGCAATGACATATTTTGGGGAACACCTTCCTCACATTGCTGGAGTGGTTCCCGTCAGGAATGTTGAGAATTTCCATCATTTCCTATGGAAAACTGTGAGCACTGCCCTGGTTGTGAAGGAAGGAGAAGAGTGATACAGCCTTTCCGAAACCTGCTCTGGAGCTGATAGTTCTGCTTTCAAATGTGCTTCCTGGTGCTTCCTCCCACAGCAGCGATACTGGGACGACAGAACCACACTGAATGACCATGCTACTACGTGTATCACACTTGATTTTAAATATAGGTTTAAAACAAGGAAAAATAAGTATGGGAGTCCTAAAAACACATCCTTCAGCTCATGTAGAATGACTGCTGGGAAGGGTGGAGATCAGGATAGCTCCTGCTCGGACCCATGTAGTCAATGGGTAAAGCAAGCATCACGTTGCTGCTTACCTTTCACATTGACCTGCCCCGGCTTGGACGCCGTCAGCCCTTTACTGTTGTGAGCCTCACAGCTGAACAGCGTTGTTTCATTGAGACCTGCAGAGGGAAAAACAAGGACCTGTTCACTGGACCTACACAAAACACCCAGGTCACACCAATTCTCCACCTGCTGCTCACAGAAAACCCTTGCAGCTTCTTTTCCTGCACTGCTGCTTTATTTTTTTCCCAGCAACACAAAAGATCTTTTATTTTGCACTCATCGCTTCCCTTGGTGGCATTTCTGTGCCGAGTGCCCGGGGGTGACCCCTGCAATCCAACTCACCCACCTTCCACGCCGCAAGCACATGTGTGCCGTCAGTCTGAGACACAGCACAGCGGGCAGGACCCCACGTTTCTAGGGCACCATTGCACAACCTCCTGAGTAAGCAGTTGTTTTGCATTCAAAAAGGGAAAGGCAGAAAGCAGAAGAGCCCCCCACCACGGCTTGAATCAGATGACTTATTGCTTTTCGAAGATTGCTCAAATCTCCCAGCTGATAACAGAGAACGACTGCTTTCGGGGGCCACTGGAAATACCCGGCTGCTTGTTCCCCCTGCAGTGTTGGCATGGCCTGTGTGAGTTGACCCCAGGCAGCAAAAGCACTCAGGATTTTCATCTCATGCAAAGGACTCTCCTGGTCCTGGAGCACATTGCTTGCTGCTGCTGCAAGGCGGAGGGCTCGCCACAGTGTGTGGGACACACCGAGAGTTTGCTCACACCAGCAGCAGTGCCTCTCAGTGCAATGGGGCTTCTGGGCCAGGAGGGAGACTGTTCAAATGACCTGATCTAGCATGTGCCAGATGGATGCAAGAACATCCAAGAGGAATGAGTCACTTCTTCCGGCTTTCACTGCCTTTTAAAGTCTGCCTTTGGACACCAAGAGGAGTCAGTTATAGTCTGGCTGCTAATTAGCTAGCAGCCTTCTCCTCATGAACAAATCGAGAAATCCCTTCTCTCTTTTGCCTCTACAGCTAAATTATGATGGGTTTTATGTTACAGGAAGGAGTTTCCTCCATGTGCTCCACCAGGTTGGCACGGAGTTAAGGCTGCAGGGGCCAACTCAAGGTCTTCCAGAGACATTAAGAGGGGACCACCAGTAAAGCAGTCCATAAGACCAGCAGTGCACTTGTTGGCATAGCCACAGACCAGAGGGGAAAAATCTATTTCTTGCTTAGGAAACAGCAGTGTGAGTGTCCTCCCTCTTCCAAGGAAGAAATTTCTGGCAGCAGCCGGTGGGGGTCGGACAGGGGTTCCTGCCCACAGATCATTCCTGGCAGAGTGGTCCCCAGGACTCAGATGGTGCTGGGCAGAGCCATGCTCCCAGCGCTGAGGATGGAGCAGTAACAGGCTGGGACTCATTTTTGCAAACTGCTACCACTATGGTACCTCTTTATCAAAGCTGGACCTCCACACCCCACTGTATACAATTTGGTAGCCATATTTTATGCCAAATATCCTGGGAAATTTATCTGTGCTGAGCTTTCCAGCCAAGCACAGCAATGCACAGTGCCACACAAAGACGAAGTAGGCTACAACAGCCTTGTGACGGCACACGGGAACACAGCCCCTGCCTAACAGGAGGTGTGAGGCCAAGGGGACAGGCTGTGAGACAGCACAAGACACTTCCCCACCCTGCCCTTCCTGGTAGCCACATAGCCAGCTGGCCATGGCAAGGATGCTGCATGGATCACCTGGCACGGTCAGGACTGATGGGGAGATGTGGGGCTTCTCATTGACTTGGACGTTGTTGCGAAACCAGTAGATCTCCACAGGTTCTGGTGGGCCCACGGCTTGGCATGTGAGGTTGAATGGACTGTTCTTGGTGACATTCAGCTTCTCAGGCTGACGAATGAAGTGTGGGAGCCCTGTACAGACACAAGCAGAGAAGCAAGAGATTCAGAGAGCTCAGCAACACAGCCCTACCAACAACCCCAAACTACCCTGCCAGGGGCTATGCCCAGTGCTGGTAACAAGCCCCTTCCCACCCAGGGCTCCCCATTTCTGGAGGACAGCTGACAGCTCCCAGATCACAGTCCCTGAGGCTGTCACTCATCCAGGGCACGATGCTCCACACCTCCAGCACATCCACCCTGGCCCGCCTCCAGCTCACCTTCCAGCTGCACTGAGATTGGATCCGACACCACCTCTGTGCCAGAGATGTTGAGTTTGCAGACGTAGGAGCCGTTATCCGAGCGCTGGGTGGCAAGGATGCTGCCAGAGAGAATGGAGACCACATCAGGGCTTTGGCAGGGAGACTGGCCCCAGACACAGGTCCCACAGGAGGAGATGGCAACACTGCCAGCCTGAGAGTGGGTTTCAATTAGTACCAACCACCCCACAGCATACACCAAGCACCAGCTGGGCTTGCAAACCCAAGCTGTTGGGGCTACGTAGTGTCTGCTCATCAAAGTCCCAGCCCCAAGCCCCTGCAAGCTGCCTGGCCTCCTGTCTCTCCCCAGGAGCCAATGCTCAGGGAATCCCTCCAGGAAGGATGGCAACAGTTACCTGAAGGTGGAGGTCATTGCCACCTCCTCCTCATCAGAGATCTCGAAGTGGCTGGTGGCGATGCGGTCCAGCACATGCAGCTCCCTCCCATCCTTCCACAAGGAAATGCCCGGAGTGTCCGGCCTGAGCAGTTGCTGAGGTACTTTGATGGAGCAATTAAATGTGACATCCTTGTGCTCATTAATCACAATGTGTCGCACCGTGGGGTTAAACTTAATCTGTCTTAGAGAGCTGGCTGAGGGCTCATCCCAGGGCTGCTCTGTGCCCTGGTGAGGCCAGTGACCAACGATGGCCACGCTTCGCTCGGGGAGGTGGGACTCTGCCAACAGGTAAGTCCTTGGATCTCGATTTCGGTCAGCATCATCTGCAAGAGAAGACCTTGGTTTTGCCACCACCAGCCACCAAGTGTCCCCTTCCAAAACCCTACAAAGCCCCATCGCCTCCATTAATAACTAAAGGCAGTTTATTTACAGATGCTCTGAAAATTCAAAATCTCTGAGATCTCTCGCAAGAGCCCCAAAGAGGAAACATGGAGCAGGGGGCTTCCCCAAGACTGCCTATGTATAACCTCCAAAAAAACCCTTTTTAAAACAAACCAGAGCAGCCCAGCCTAAAGAAAGTCCTTGTCCGCTTCTGTTTCAGCAGGGGAGAGGCAGGAGCTATTTCTGCTGCATTGCACCCCTGGGAATTGAATATAAAAGGATCCCTGGGCAGGAGGAATTTAGGACTTTAGTCCAGTAAACCCCTTTTGGGGGCCTCATCTCAAGCATTTTCAGCTTGGGCCGAGAAAGAGTCCCCGGCGGGGATTTCTCTGATTTTAGGCTCTTTGCTGATGACGCTGCTGCCTTCCCAGGACAGACTGAGCTGCTCTGAAAGAGGGAGATGCTCTCTGAGTCAACTACAAACACTTTTGCTAAGCTAAGTGCCTCCATGAACTGCTTTTCTCAGGAAAACATCTACAGACAGATGAAAAAATGCCTTCAGACAGTGTGTAGGAGCCGGCTGCTGTTTAGTGTTGTTCTCCCAGGGTCTTTTCCTAGACATTTTTCCCAAGGGAAGGCTATTTACCAGCCCTTTCCGAGGGCTTCATGCCCCAACCTACAAATCACTTAACATAACCAGTCCTGTAACGGCGTTTTCTCCCTCCCTCCCAGCACTTCACACCACAGCCAGGAAGAGCAGCTCCGTATAAAGCGATTCCCACCAACAAAACTGTATATTTTGAAGATAAAAGATCTAGAGAAAATACCACAAATAAATGCTTTTACTAGACTGTTTCCGAGCTTCCCGAGGCTTTCATAGGCACACAGAAATCCCAGGCAGAGTGGTAAATCTCCCTTGCTGCTTTCAGCAAGCAAAGGCATCATGCCAGACAGGAATTTCAGCTAAATTAATTTGTCTCTTCCGAAAAAAAAAACTAACCCAAACCTATTCACACTTTAAAAGATAATACCGCAGGTAGAAAGCACTACCTTTTTATTTAACCAGAATTCAGCTGAGTTTGCTTTGAGGCAGGTCTTAGTCCCAAAACATCAAACGACAAGTTTTTAAAGCTACGTCATCACTATTGTGAGTAATGGAGCATGAGCCTGGTGTGCTTTCCCGAGAGCCAAGAAACACAACCTAATTTTGAGGCTGGATATATTCCTTTGCTAAATTGCTCACTATTTTTAACCCTCGAGAAATGCTCCTTCTAGACAGAAATTTGAGAAGGGATTTTAAGTTCTGCCTGGTGGTGCAGAGGAAAGCGCAAGGTTCTCCCTGGCTCTCACACAAAACAATGGGTTTCCCTTTTAGAAAAGAAAAAAAAAAAAAAAAGACTCTAAGCTTTTCCAACCTGCTTCCTAAGCTTTACCATCCCAACACAAACAAAGGCCATGTGACTGCTGCAAAACGCAGCCGACTGCCATTTAGTTACCGGCTGGGGTCACCAGCTCTCAAACAACCAGGCAGCTCCAACAAAGATTTGCCAAATTCAAACAAGCGAGCGACCCCAAATCCACTTCCCTCCCCTGCTCTTCCCAGAGGTTACTCAGGCCTGGAGCCACTCGCTGCCTGGCACAATCCAACCTCAAACAGCTGTTTTAATGCTCCATTTCAAAGCTTTCCAGCTCTGGTCGGAGCAGCTCCCCAGGCAGGGACCCCTGGCCGAGGAGGACACGGATGTGTGCCTGTGGTCCCTGCCCTTGGCAAGCGCTCCGCCTGGTCCGGGATGATTTCTGCTCACCCGCAGCTCACCCTGGCCTGCTTCAAGTTAAAAAGTAAAGAACAAAGGTGATCTTAGCCTCATTTTCTATACTGATTAAGTGGAAAGAGGTGTTTGCTGGCCCAGGAATGAAATACTTTCCTCTCTGACTCATGGCAACAACAGGAATTTCTCATATCTAGTGTTGTCTTTGGGTACCCCTTCCATCCCCAGCTGTTTGGGATGTGGATATCTTCACAAGTGCCTTTGAAGGGATTTGCTGTGTGTGGCAGGACACCCCTTACCTGTGTCCAGAGCGATTTGCTTAGGCTGGCTCTAAAAGCCCACACAAGAGCCAAGGAGCCGAAAGCCAGCATGCCTGTGTGGGTGCCTGCCACCCTGGAGCAGTTCCCTTTGCTTACCGCAGCTTGGCCTGAGGGAAAAGCTGGTGTGGAAATAAATCCACTTGCAAGAACAGTGCTAATTTCTTGAAACACTTGGGATCACAGCAAAACTAAAATGCTAGCAAAGACAGACCTTACTGTGCAGCCCGGCAGGTCCCACATGCCTTCTCCATTACTCACCTAGAGAATGGAGTTTTAACAAAAAAATCTGCCCACTATTAGAGACAAGATACTTTATTATGGACTAAAACAAAAAGCAGGGAGCTGCAAACCCCGTGACTGAAACAGCAAGTCATTCTGCTGCAGTTCCAGTAAGGAAGGTATTAGAAAACACCCAGGTCTGCCAAAAAGCTCCCTATCCCTGGATTTCCCATTACTGGAAGTAATTCACCTGCTGACAACAGCTCTCTGGTCAGGCACTTGTTGAGCACATCTTCGCACTCGAACAGGGCAGGAGCAGGAGGGAGGAAGAGCCCCCGTGTCCCTGCCTGCTGGGTTTCCTATCTCTCCCTGCCCCAGGAGCTGTCAGAAGAAGTTTAATTTCCCCCAGGTTCACACCTCACTTCCAAAGAGACTCTTGGGATTCAAACACCTTTTGTATAAACCAGTCCAGGATTGCTG